CGGCCTCTGGGAGGGACCAGGATAATTAGGGTCTCTGAGCCTTTTTTCTTTTTTGGTGCTGATTCTGGGGCTCTAACTCAGGGGCTTGGCATTATCCCCAAATATGTTGTTTTGGTTTTTCCCCTCAAGGCTAGCACTCTTTTTTGGAATATTTTTATTATCTTTAAGTAGTTGTACAAAGGAATTGCCATTCACGAAGGCAATTTATGACTGTGGTGCACCTTGATCACTGCCGCCCCCTTCATCATTCTCACCCACTCATCCCACCCCACCCCTTCCCTGATTTATCTTAATTTTAGGTTAGGTATTTAATTTTTATTTTTTGTATTTTAACGAAGCAGCTTATGTATCTTTAAGAGTCTCACTGACTTTCCTGCCTGGGCTGGCTTTGAACTGATATCCTCAGATCTCAGCCTCCTGAGTGGTTATAATAGATTACAGACATGAGCCACCAGCGCCAGGTGGGTCTCTGAATCTTTATCTTCCAATGGTGTAGCACCATCCAAGTCTAAAACCTACATCCAGAGGGCTATGTGGAGTTCATGACCAAGAGAGGCTGAAGAATAACCATTGCACTGTCAGTGTAGGAACACCTTTGTCTTAATGGACCATTAACGATTGTGGGAGCTGCACTTCAGGGAGATCTAATTTCTTTGAGTTACCTCCAAGAGACACATGCCTAAACTACTTAATCTGCTGTGACAAGAGCCATTCAGGTACAATCGGGATCTCGTCAAGATCTGCTGATTTGGGGGTGTCTTCTACTTGGGGATGCACTGAGACACATTTGAGCCAGGAAGAGAAAAGGGAGTGGAAGTAAAGAGAGTAAGGTCAAAAGCATTTCTAAAGGCAAGAATTAGTCAAGGTAAGCTGGGCAACAGGTGGCTCATCCTGTCCATCCTAGCTACTCAGAAGGCTGAGATCTGAGGATCACAGCTCAAAGCCAGACTCAGAAGCAAAGTCCATGAGGCAATTATCTTCAATTAACTACCAAAAAGCCAGAAGTGAAACTATGGCTCAAGTAGCAGAATGCCAACTTGAGCATTAAAGCTCAGGAACAGCTCCCAGATTCTGAGTTTCAGCCCCAGTTATATGTGCATGCATGTGCGCGTGTGCACACACACGCACACACACACGCACGCACGCGGAATTAGCCAAGGTGATCTGCAGTAAGGCATTAGCATAGCAGTGAGAAAGTTACCCAAAATGAAGCTTAGGTTAAATAGGAAAGAAAAAAAAGAAAAGATCTCTGATGAGGATGGAAATGGCACACGTCCACTGACAATGCAAAGTCCCCATCTGCATAGTAAGGGCGTTTAGGTAGAGGATGGAAGAACACACAGATGGACCCTCAGGCATCCTCCACTTCTGGCTCCATTTTACCAAATACCAGAAGGGAATATCACCAGATCAGAGGGAAATGTAAGTAGACCTCCCAACCTCCAATAGTGGCATAAGAAGGAATTGGGCCAAGAAAGTTCTCTAAAGGTCTCCTGTCACCCTTGAACTTTCCAACCTGGTCCTCAGACCCAGAGCCGAAAGCTCTGAGTGATCTCTGGGAGTCAGGCTACGAAACATTAAGCTGCCAGGTAGACCAAACAGCAGCTGCTTTGTTTGAAGAGGAACAAACATAGGAAAGGGGGCACGCAGAAGACGCCAGAAGAGCAGCAGGCCTCGAAGGCTAAGAGTGAACACCAGCACACGGACACCCAGCCTTCCTCTAAATGTAGACCAGGCCTCCAGTAATCCCATCTACCAAGTAGCCTCCTGTACCCCAGCCAACCAGCAAAACACAGCCCCCATTCTGCTCAGGAATGTGTTCGCAGAAACTTAATCTAACTGCTGAATCCAGGCCAAATCTCCCAGTGGCATTAACCCAAAGACAGCACCCCTTTTCTTTCTCCCCCACCCAACTTCCCGCCACCCCCAGTGCTGCCTCCAGATCCAATCCACCAACTCACTGTTCTGCAGGACACAGCCCTCCTGAGCCTGCTCACTCCATTTCAAGTCTTTCTTCCTCCCAGTCAGGCCCAAACATTTCACTTCTGGTTCATGTCCAGAGGACAAGCCAGGAAGTTCTTGGCTATGCAACTAGATTCACTCTGCTCTTCCACTTGCCCTTCTCTTGCTGTGCCTTCCTGGGCTGCAACCAAATCTTTCCTTTGTCCTCCTTGCCAACCACATATCCCTTCGAGCACCGGAGGAAGCAGCAGCCAGGATTTTTTTTTTTAAATCAAGGCTATAAATTGTATCTCCTCATCCAGATACACCTTGAAGCTTAAAGAGAGCTCCAAGATAAATCCTCACCTCTCCAACTCTTCCTTCAACAAACAATGAAGTTTTCAGTGTGGCTCCTCATTAGAACAAATGAATAGGGATGGAATTTCTTGGGACTCCACAGATACATGCTGACCATTTGCAGATGAAATCTGTAAAAAGGCTATTCTTATACAACCTCTAAATACACAATTGTTAGGGAAAGGCACATTTTATTTGTAATAGTAAAGAACGATAACTGTACTAACTATCCAGGAATAGGAATAGTTCACTACACTGTGGGAGAGCTATTTAGGGGGATCATAATTCTAGGCCATCAACAATCATGGTAATGCTCAGCTGGGGCTAGAAGGGGGCATTAGTTAGGAAGGGTATGAGGGATGTGTGCTGGAGTGATGTTGTATACCTATGAGAAAATGGATTGTGTTGTTTACTTAAGATTAGTATATTATTTTTACTCTACTGTGTATTTATTTTCATTAGAAAAGAGAAAAATTTTCATATGGCCCTGGAAAATTATTTCCAGCAATGCCAAAGTGGGGGAAAAACAATAGAAAATGTAGCATCATTACAACAACATAAAACTATGGGTAGAGATACAAACTGAAAGGGGCCAGGCACTTGTGGCTCATACCTATAATCCAAGCTCCTGGGAGGCTGAGATAAAGAGGATCGCAGTTCTAGGCCAGCTCAAGCAGAAAAGTGTGCGAGACTGCATCCCAAAGGGAAGTAGCTAGGTAGGGTGGCATATGCCTGCCATCCTTGTTACAGCAGGAAATATAGGCAGACTGTGGTCCAAGTAAAGACCTGGGCAAAAAGTGAGACCTTATCTCAAAAATATCCAATGTATAAAAGGGCTGCAAGCATAGCTCAGCTATAGAGCATCTGTCTATCTAGCAAGCCAAGGCCCTGGATTCAAATCTTACTACTGGAAATAAAAAGGAAACAGAAACTAGAAAGGGTCTGATGTCATACACACACAATCCCAATACTCAGAAGGCTGAGGTAGGAGATTAGCAAGTTCAAGGCCAGCCTGGATTGAATAATAAGCCAAAGGCCAGCCTAAGATACAATGAAACCTTTTCTAAAACAAATAAAACCAAAGCAGACTAGAAGGATATACACCAAAATGATAATGGTGGCTATGCAAAGAAGGTAGGCTTATGGGAGAGATTTTTTTATACATCCTGAAAATTCTATAATGCAATCATAAATAAAAATATAACAATCGAGTTAAGAAATACATGATGGTACAAAGTATAGTTCAAATCTCAGTCTTTGTGAGGGTTCTGGGGCTTGAACTCAGTGTCATGCTCTCATTTGGGCTTTTTCTGCTCCAGGCTGGTGCTCTACCACTTGAGTTACACCTCCAGTTCCTCAGCCTTTCTTGATGACCTCTACCTTTTTCACCCAACTCCCCAATCCATGTACAAGCACAGCTGGAGGGGGTCTCAATATGGCCCTCACACACACACACACACACACACCCCACGCTTAACTTTCCCTATTTCCTACACTCTAGATCAGGAAAGGGGCCAAATAGAAGGAAGTTCTTTCTACTTCCTAGCTACAGACTCAGCATAGAAGAATGGGTGTTAGGGCTGTTCTGCAGGCCTTGGAGTATTTCACCCGTCCCATCTCATGGTCCCACATGTACAATGTAGAATACCAGGTAATGTGTTTCCTGAGATAGTGTGTACCAAATGGTATTTCTCTATAGAGGCAATGTGTCACATTACCCATCTCCACTTGGCCTAACATAATGGGGCTGAGTCGGGTACAATATACTGGCAACTAGAAATACCGATCCCAGACAAGGCTCCTTTTCCAGCTGTGATTATGTTGAGTCATTTGGCCCTCACTTTCCTCCGAACATATACTTTAATTATTTTGTAAAAACCATGTCTCACTTTCATGAGCATAAAAGAAATAGGCGCAGTCATGAGGACCATCTGGCAGGAAGTACATGAAAACAGTATCCACCAGAATTACCCAGCCAGGAGGGAATTTAGGAGCCATTTAACCTTTGCTTTCCACATGTTGGCTTGAAGGCCTGTGTCCTCGGTAATGCAATAATCAGAGGAAATACAGATCAGAAATAACCCTGATTCTATATTACAGTTAGAATGTCTATGAGGATTTTAATAAACTATCTTATGCTGTGTATAAAAAAGAAAGATAAAACTCAAGCCAAAAGAAAGAGAGGGGGGCAGGGAGAGGGAAAAGAAAAGAAAAAAGAAAGGAAAAGGAAGTATGAAGTCATGGCTCCCACTGTCACCTAATCTCTTCCTAGTTTCTCTTTTCTTTATCCTGGTCACACAGTTTCCTTTTCATTGTGTTCCAGGCATTTGGAATATACTAAGGCCAACACTGGGGTGGGCAGGCTTTTCCACACCCCTGGGAAATTTCCTGGTTGTAACCCATTATGAGAATGGAAGTTGGGGCAGGGGGAAGGGGGGAGGCGGGCAGCTGGCACACTCCACCTAACACACAGTGTGACCCAGGCTGGGCACCAGGGACAGTCACCCTGTATAGATGGTGGTTCCAGACAACATCCCTGCTCAGAGTGACACTTTCCAAGGATACCATGGTGCCTGTACCACCGGAGATCATGAGGCATTTACCTACCTCTGATTTGAAATTGATTCACGGCAGGAGGAATAATTGATGGGGGGAAGGACAGAGTGGGGGACAGGGGGCAAGACCACCCCATGCAGACTCACTGGCTAGTGTCACTGTGGCTGGCACACTGGCTACAGCCCCTGCAGGCATCCGGGCCACACACTGGTACCGTCCCACCGTGTGATTGTTGAGGGCAGCGATGACAAGGGTTCCCCGGCTGAGCAGGACACCCAGCGTATCATCCGAGCCATTCAGCTCCTTCCCGTTCAAGCGCCACGTTACATTCACCCACGCTGGTTCCACCACACAGCCTAGAATCACAGTTCCTCCAAGCTTCTGGACAGTGGACGCAGGTTGGACAGTGACCCGAGGGACCTCATCTGGAGAGAGAACAATGTAGCAATGAACAGATGTCCCATCTCTCTCCCCAGGAAACCAATCACATCACCATATGAGAAGTACTGCACCCAAGCAGCCCTGCAGACAAGAGCTTCCAGGGGCTTCTGAGTAACTCAACTGTGCCTCAGTCTATTCCCCAGGTAGATATGGAGTGGTAATGTGTTACGATAGCAAGGTCTCAGGCTCTGAGTGAGAAACACCTGGGGCTGAATCTCAGGGCCGCTACTTCTCAGTCATGTGACCCCCAGTCTTTGTGAGTCTGCTTCTCATCTAGATGAAGCAAATAATGCTTGACACACAGGGTGGTGAGAAGGCTCGCAATCCATGTGTGCAAATGGCCTGCCATGGTCTCATAGGATAAATGCACAGAAAAGGCAGTTATGGTTATTATGCGTCCACTACCACTGGCTTATCCTAGAAATGAAGAAAATACCACTTGTCACCAATATAATGTTTCCCTGATCACTTCCCAGCTTGTATTCCTGTGTGCTCCTGAAGGCTGGAGGAAATGAAGCGCTTTTAAAGAGTTGTTCTAGGTTGCTTCGTTAATGGGGTCTTCCTGGAGAAAGGGGAGGGGACACTCACCCAAATCTGCAAGGCATCCTGCTGTGGCCAACAGGAGCCAGGACAGTGACACGGCCGGCCTCTTTCTGCTATGGGTTGTCATCGTCCCTTGTAGCATGTTGGGTCACAGAGGGATCCAAGCTCATGTACCATAAGCCACCAAAGTCACTCACAGAGATACCACCGCGTGCTGTTGCACTGTCATGGAGACAAAGAACAGAATGGCCGTGGTAAGAAAACAGGATGTCTCCCACACCTTGCTTCCGATCACACTTGATGGTATCATCAGTAGAGACCTAGACTTGCTACTGGAACACCCATGGGCTATTTCTCATGTACAAGCAGGAGCTTTATCTGGAGTTAGAAGATGACTTTATTATGGCAAGAAGGCTAGGGCCTTGCCCAGGGAACCAGCAGCAATTCCAACAGGAAGCTTGAGATAGGGAGTAGATGAGACTTTTGGCATAGGGCACTGGGCACAGGTGCTGGAACAGGCAGAAAAATCCTTCTCCATTGGCTTCTCATGTCCACAGCCACATGGCACACTATGTCACTAGTACAACGGGACAGCACTCTTGGTTGGCTGGTTGGTCATGGGGCTTGAACTCGGGCCTTGGACACTATCTCTTTTTGCTCAAGGCTAGCACTCTACCACTTTGAGCTACATCTCCACTTCTGGTTTTCTGGTGGTTAATTGGAGATAAAAGTCTCACAGACTTTCCTGCCTGGGCTGGCTTTGAACACCAGCCTCAGATCTCAGCCTTCTGAGTAGCTAAGATTACAGGTTTGAGCCACCAGCACCCAGCTCTGAGACAGCACTCTTGTGCAATATATATACACAATTCCCCTTTTAGAAGATGTTCCTAATTCACAAATCCTAAAAGTCTCAGTGATTGAGGAACGTTCTTCTGCTTTGATTCTCCTTCTCCAAGCTCAACACCAACATCCCTGAGAATTCTATCTTGGAATCAACCAGCCCTCCTCTACTTGTCTGTTTATGCCCCAGGCACAAACACAGACAGAAGTCACACGTTAGACAAGACCCTTCAACTTCTCAATGTGTCAGGCTCCATTTCAACATTACTTTCATTTTACCCTGAGCCTGGTGCTGGAATCTAGGGTTTTCACCTCACCTCTACCCAGAACAATTTTCCCTTGAGGATTCAGCCTGCCCTGCAACTGTGGCCCCCAACGACCCATCTCAGCTGTAAGCCACTGCCTCACCCCTGCCTAAGATATTCAGTTCTCACCTTTCACGGGATTTACTCCTTTATGACTCCTGTAAGTTATGAGCCAGAAACGATTTGCCAAAAACACATGGCCAGGTATATTCCAACACATGTGCTTTCTGCCACAGAAAAAAAATCAAGACTTTGTTCCTATGCTTTTCACTGATGTGTTTATGTAACATCATTAAATGAGGAGGTTGGATCAACACCTTTTCTGACAGGAGGTTATGAACAAGTTTTTAGAACATTGAAGGAAACTTTCCAAGGATCAGACAGTAGAGAAAGCACCTAGAATCATGTGCCTGTGACAATACTAATGGTTTCTTTGTATGCTCAAGGTGCTCATTCTTCTAGAACAATCAATTTAACCAGACTCAGAGGAAGGTTTCCAGTCACCATAGGAAGTATCTAAACTTCCCAGTGGAAGCTTAGACTGCTTGTCTGCACAGACTGGGGACAGTCCTGCAGGTCTTTCACCACTGCTGACAGAAGGGTACTACAGTCCAGAGCTGGAGGCTCCTGCTCTGTGCTTGAGGCACTTGGGATTTCTTAGAACTTTCCTTTTCTCTGAGGCCCATTAGCTTCTAGCTCTCAGCCTGGACTGTGAGGAACAGATAACAACTACATCCACTTTGTCTGACCAGTACTCTCGAAACCAGACTTAGGACCCTTCTCCACAATGATGTTCACACTGTTTTCCAAGAAAAGGTTCTTTGCCTTGTGACTTCCACATCAGAGAACATGCAAGATTTCAACTGCTGTCCTCAGAGAAAGGTCAGAGGACATGTTCTGAGAAGGGTTTGAGCTTGGTGCTGGTGACTCAGGCCTACAACCTTAAGTATTCATGAGATGGACAGGGACTGCAGTTCACAGACAGCCTGGGGAGGAAAGTCAATAAGACTCTTATCTCCAATTGGCTACTAAAAAGCCAGAAGTAGAGTTGTAGTTCAAGTGGTAGAACACCAGCCTTGAGAGAAAAAGCCAAGGGACAGTACCCAGGCCCTGAGTTTAAGCTCCAGTATCAGCATCAAAAACAAAAAACAACCACAAAGTTTTTAAAGTAACACACACACACATACACACACGCACTCTATTAAAGAAATATTGGAGAAGTCCCCCCACCTTGGCAATTTAAAATAATTTTCTTCAGAGAAGGGAGGGAGAGAGAGAGGGAGAGAGGGAGGGAGAGGAGAGGGAGAGGGAGAGGGAGAGAGGGAGAGGGGAGGGGGATAGCATATCAAAGGGCTGTGCTAAGTCAAGTTCCTAGAACTACAAATGATGTGAGTCAGCCTGGGGCAGGCAAGGCAGAGGTAGTGGGAGTGGTGCAGCACCTGCCACTGCTCCAGGGATCCAGGGAGGAGCTGGGATCTGCACAGCACCTGTCCCAGGTTGCTCTGCAACATGGGACCATTATCCCCATTTTCCAGGAAAGTCTTGAAACAGTTCTCCAGGCTAAATAATCATAGATCTATAGGCCTGGACTGAAACCCAGTTTTAGCTGATTCCAAAACTCTATGCTTTTAAGCTGTAATAATAGCCTTTTACGTTTTCCCCCCCTACCAATGGTCTATATGGGGTGGGTGTCTAACTGACTTGGAATTAAGGATGAAGTAGAACTGTCATTTTGAGAGGAAAAATTCAAACCAAATAGTAAGCTTGGGGAACCCTCTCAATCTTCCGATGCTTGTTTAAATGCTCTAATCTTTCATCTACTGAGTAAATCATTAATACAAGATGCTTTATGTTACAGAATTTTAAGGAATTAGGTTTTCATGACATGCCCCATTTCCCAGTTTTTTATTTTTATTTTTTAAGGAGATTGATATCAACTTCCTTCCTGCCCCCTAGGGATAGAGGAGAGAAGAAGAGGAGAGGAAGCAGAAGAAGAGAAGAAAGAAGGAAGGAAGGAAGGAAGGAAGGAAGGAAGGAAGGAAGAAAGGAAGGAAGGAAGGAAGGAAGGAAGGGAAAGGAAAGGAAGGAAGGAAGGAAGGAAGGAAGGAAGGAAGGAAGGAAGGAAGGAAGGAAGGAAGGAAGGAAGGAAGGAAGGAAGGAAAGGGAGAAAGGGAAGGAGGTAAAAATGAACATGAAGTAATAAAGGACCAAATAAGGACAAGCAGACAAAGGCCAGGGGGCTGTTTCTTATCTGAGCACAGAGGTGTTTGGGTTGTAAACTCAGCAAAGGTTTTACTGAGGAAATTCTGCACAGACCCCCTCCTGTTTAATGAGGACAAGCCAAACAATTCCTGTTCCTTCTGCACCCTTGGTAATTTATAAGGTTCAAAATGGAAACAGATACTACTCTTGCTGCTAACCACCATACTAGCTTTAAAAACAAGAATAGAAAGTAGTTAGTCAAAGAGGGGGCAAAAGGAAACAGGTAGCCACAGAGGGAGCAAGGGGTTAACTCATTAACCCCCACCTCAGAGTTGTAAGCAGGTACCAGTTTAATGACCTAAAAGGACACAATCACCTAGCAGCAGAACTGTGACCAAAAGAAAAAAATGAAAATAAAAACTGGGAGGTAGGTTGAAGAGGAATCACTGAAGGTACTTAGCTGTTGGGGTATTGGAAAAACGAGTTACTTTCTGGACCAAGTAACTTTTTGGATCTAGTGAATTTGATCTGGACATAAAACAAATTCCCAAGATTTGGGTATCTGAGAATTTTGTTTTAAATATTATATATGTCGGGCTGGGAAGGTGGCTCAGTGGTAGAGAGCTTGCCTTGCACGTATGAGGCCCTGGGTTCGATTCCTCAGCACCACATAAGCAGAAAAAAAAAGCCGGGAGTGGTGCTGTGGCTCAATTGGTAGAGTGCTAGCCTTGAGCTGAAGAGCTGAGGGACAGCGCCCAGGCCCAGAGTTCAAGCCCCACAACCGGACCCAATAAATAAATGAATAAATAAATAAATAAGTAAATATTATATATGTATGTACATGCACACATATATTGGGTAGGGTTCTTTTAACTCAGAGTCTCATGTTCTCAGTGTTTTTGCTCATGGCTGACATTCTACCATTTAAGCCCCACTTCCTTCCAATTCTGGCTTTTTGCTGGTTATTGGAGATGAATCTCTTGGATTTGTTTGCCTGGGCCGGCTTCAAATCTTGATCCTCAGATCTCAGCTTCTTGAGTAGCTAGGATTATAGGCATAAGCCACCAATGCCTAGCAATTATATACATAAACATTATATGTGTATATATATAAAAGTATGCTTAAGTTAGAGAATCTATCTAAAGTATAACTTGGTTTCATTGTGAAACACGCAATTTCAAAGCTAAGCAAAGACAACAGTAAGGCCTGATATTTTCTTGACAATGTACAATATGTCTAGAGTCATCTTACTTTCTTATGCATTTTCTCAAAAAAAATGAAGAAGAGGAGGAGGGGGGGGAGAAGAGGAGGAGGAGGAGGAGTCAGAGGAGGAGGAGGAGTCAGAGGAGGAGGAAATAATCATCATCAAGGGGGAAAACATCCAAAAACAGAAAGAGGAGAAAATGAATTTGGCCATGAATTCCTCTAGGTACTTGGGGGCATTTTTTAAAGGGTAATTTGGACATGAAAAGGAAAAGAAAGTATGTTTGAGAAGTTTCACTGCTGAACTCATCGCCTCCAAGTAGACATTTCCAAAACTTTCCAAAAACAACAGCAGCAAAATACACTTTGGGGGTTGAGACCAAGCAGGAGAAATTGTAGCCTTGGTACATTTGAATTTTCTTTTTTTCTTTTTGAGAAAATTACAAACAACTGAAAGCTGACCATCAGGTGGGGGCCAGCTCCACCATCTCCCCAGAGAGCTGTCTAACTACAAGGAGAACAGTGAAAGAATACCTCGCAAGACCTCCCTCCATCCTTTTCCCTGGATATCCCCAGCTGCTTCCCGAAGAGGAGCCTGTGGGATCTAAACCAC